GCCATCATACTTTTCTTTTGTCTGTGAAAAGGAGATATCACTTCCTGTCCCAGAGGAAATTAGAAGACTTCTCTCGGCGTTGAGAGGAAACCCCCCTCTTAGTTGTCACCAGAACAGGTGTCCCCATTTGACGATTTCCCCTCTATTCCTGTTCTGGTGACAACTGTAACACTCTATTAGAACTTATGTACAGGGGGCTGCGGTTTGTAGGCAGAGATAAAAGGGTTAAAATATTGTCATCAGCCGGAGTAGAAAGCTCTTTTGTTGCCCCGATAGAGATCTCTTGACCTGGTGACCTTTGTTCAAAAAATAAAGCCAATTACAACCAAACAAAAATAAACAGAATAATAAATGTAAGGTTTCGTATAACACATACTGGAATCCAAAGAAAACACAATTTGTATGAGGGATGAGCCAATGCCAGAGATGAGGTGTCCCCACAAGTAGAGGTGAGGGCAATCTAATGGAGCCACCTGTTCCGGGGAACACTGTGTGGATGGGAATTCTCATTTTGAGAAATTTCATCTAACTTCCTGTTGTGTCTCTGGGATAGGAAGTAAAGCTATATCATGGTGCAGGCTGCCTAGCCGCCGACACCAGGGCAACCAAGGACGCTGTGCAGCCTGGATGCCTGTGTCCTAGCAACCAGTGACGCTGTGCAGCCTGGATGCCTGTGTCCTAGCAACCAGTGACGCTGTGCAGCCTGGATGCCTGTGTCCTAGCAACCAGTGACGCTGTGCAGCCTGGATGCCTGTGTCCTAGCAACCAGTGACGCTGTGCAGCCTGGATGCCTGTGTCCTAGCAACCAGTGACGATGTGCAGCGTGGATGCCTGTGTCCTAGCAACTAGTGACACTGCATCTCGGATGCCTGTGTCCTAGCAACCAGTGACGCTGTGCAGCCTGGATGCCTGTGTCCTAGCAAGCAGTGACGCTGTGCAGCCTGGATGCCTGTGTCCTAGCAACCAGTGACGATGTGCAGCGTGGATGCCTGTGTCCTAGCAACCAGTGACGATGTGCAGCGTGGATGCCTGTGTCCTAGCAACTAGTGACACTGCATCTCGGATGCCTGTGTCCTAGCAACCAGTGACGCTGTGCAGCCTGGATGCCTGTGTCCTAGCAACTAGTGACGCTGTGCAGCCTGGATGCCTGTGTCCTAGCAGCCAGTGACGCTGTGCAGCGTGGATGCCTGTGTCCTAGCAACCAGTGATGCTGTGCAGCGTGGATGCCTCTGTCCTAGCAACTAGTGACACTGTGCATCTCGGATGCCTGTGTACTAGCAACAAGTGACGCTGTGCAGCCTGGATGCCTGTGTTCTAGCAACCAGTGACGCTGTGCAGCCTGGATGCCTGTGTCCTAGCAACCAGCGACAATGCATCTTGGATGCCTGTGTCCTAGCAACTAGTGATGCTGTGCAGCGTGGATGCCTGTGTCCTAGCAACCAGTGATGCTGTGCAGCGTGGATGCCTCTGTCCTAGCAACTAGTGACACTGTGCATCTCGGATGCCTGTGTTCTAGCAACCAGTGACGCTGTGCAGCCTGGATGCCCGTGTTCTAGCAACCAGTGATGATGTGCAGCCTGGATGCCTGTGTCCTAGCAACCAGTGATGCTGTGCAGCGTGGATGCCTGTGTCCTAGCAACCAGCGACAATGCATCTCGGATGCCTGTGTCCTAGCAACCAGTGATGCTGTGCATCCTAGCAAGCAATGATGCTTTGCAACTCGGATGCCTGCCTCCGAGCCACCAGTGATGCTGTGCATCCCAGATGCTTGTATCCTAGCAACCAATGAATCTCTGCAGCCCGGATGTGAATGCTCATGAATAGACACATATGTGTTGTTGATCCAGCATACAATATTTTTTGGTCCATTGACTCTTCAGAGGAAGATCATTTTGTAAAAAATTTTAGTAATCCTTTTGCCACTTTTTATGTTTTTGTTTTCTTTGATTTTATTCTTCTTTTGAGTATGTGTTATAATAAACCTTGAATTTATTTTTGTATAATTTTTTGTTTGGTGGTTATTTTCTCTGAATGTACAAAGTCAGTGACAGTGACCATTTAAAGAGACTATTGCCAGACAATACATTTCTACATCAATCTACCCATAGATGGTACCCCCTTCCCTCCCTCCCACCTGCTACATATAGGGAGGTTAGGCTAGAAGAGGCGAGGACTAGGACATGCAAAGAGGGAGGGGTCTGTGCTGGGGAATTTACTCTTCTGGAGTAGTCACATTTTCTAGAATTTTTCTGTTCCATTACCTGCCATTTGTATATTTGGTGATAGGGTCTCGTTAAGCAAATGGTTGACCTCCTTCTGGAAATGCAAGTTGCTTGGATGTTTCCCTTCTCCACTAAACTTTTAGACACTGATCCGGAATAGATATACAGCCATTGTAAGCAGAGCTCCTTCATACACAGATAAGTTACTCAGAAAGTATTGAAGCTTAGGGATCAGCATGACAACCGGTCAACTAGCATTTTTAGAAGGAAGTTGACAATGGCAGCCAATATATTTCAGTATAGTTTTGCTTTACCATCTTTGTAATCTGTGCAGTCACCTCATACAGTTTCTCTCGCTGACAGAGCTGCGCTGTGCCATTTGCCACCAAGCAGACCCGGTGATGCCCTGAAGGAGCACAGAGGATCTATGACATCGCTTCCTGACCGGCCCCTCATGTCCTGTGTAAGCATGTGTCCACTGACTTTTTTTTGAATGTCTACAAGCTCCAGATTCCACTACATAGAGATTTAGTTATCACTAGAGGGGTCTCCAGCAGGGGGAAGGAGGTCCTGATTCCTCTATATAGATCTTTATTTATCACTAGAGGGATCTCCTTAAGGAGGTCATGATTCCTCTATATAGATCTTTATTATCACTAGAGGGGTCCCCAGCAGGAGGAGGAAGGTCCTGATTCCTCTATATAGATCTTTATTATCACTAGAGGGATCCCCAGCAGGAGGAAGGAGGTCCTGATCCCTCTATATAGATCTTTATTATCACTAGAGGGATCCCCAGCAGGAGGAAGGAGGTCCTGATCCCTCTATATAGATTTTTATTATCACTAGAGAGATCTCCAGCAGGAGGAAGGAGGTCCTGATTCCTCTATATAGATCTATATTATCACTAGAGGGATCTCCAGCAGGAGGAAGGAGGTCCTGATTCCTCTATATAGATCTTTATTATCACTAGAGGGATCCCCAGCAGGGGGAAGGAGGTCCTGATTCCTCTATATAGATCTTTAGTTATCACTAGAGGGATCACCAGCAGGAGGAAGGAGGTCCTGATTCCTGTATATAGATCTTTAGTTATCACTAGAGGGATCTCCAGCAGGAGGAAGGAGGTCCTGATTCCTCTATATAGATCTTTATTATCACTAGAGGGATCTCCAGCAGGAGGAAGGAGGTCCTGATTCCTCTATATAGAACTTTATTATCACTAGAGAGATCTCCAGCAGGGGGAAGGAGGTCCTGATTCCTCTATATAGATCTTTATTATCACTAGAGGGATCCCCAGCAGGGGGGAGGAGGTCCTTATTCCTCTATATAGATCTTTAGTTATCACTAGAGGGATCCCCAGCAGGAGGAAGGAGGGCCTGATTCCTCTATATAGATCTTTATTATCACTAAAGGGATCCCCAGCAGGAGGAAGGAGGTCCTGATTCCTCTATATAGATCTTTTTTATCACTAAAGGGATCCCCAGCAGGAGGAAGGAGGTCCTGATTTCTCTATATAGATCTTCAGTTAGACTTCTTTTAGAATACTCTATCCAGTTCTGGAGACCTCACTTATAAAAGCATAATGATAAGATAGAATGAGTCCAGAGATGGGAAACAGAAATGATGAAAGGTCTGAAGGATAAAACATATCAGGGGAGACTCAGGAACTTATTATATACAGTCATGAGGTAAGTGGGAACATGACTGAAAATCTTAAATCCATGAAGTGTGTGGCATCAGGTTTAGGACGGCTGTATTCTTAATATGAAGACATGGCCTCAAACTAGCAGGAGGAAAGATCAAAACTAATCTTAGAAAGTATTATTTTACAGAAAGAGTAGTTGATGTTGGGAAAAGACCACCAGCAGAGGGAGGGAGTCATTTAACAGCAAGTAAATTAAACCTTGCTTGGGACAAACAGATCTATACTGAGACAAAAAGGTTAAAGAAAAAAAAAAAAGAAGGGGCAAATTCGATGGACCACTTGGTCTTTTTCTGGCGTCACTCTTCTATGGTTCTAATTTAAGTTTGTAATGTTATCATTGTTGAAGTAAACTTGTTGCACACTTGGCCAATGCAAAATGAGCGTATCCTGAGAAAACACATAAGCAGATCTTCCTTCAGTTAACACTGCTGTGTAGAACAATGGACAATCAGCTGGTCCCTGAGCACTGGTCCTGATATCCTTTTTTAGGGACGCTCCAGCCCCTTGGGAGGTCCTATGGAGCCACCCTTGTGTGTGCTAGTCAGCTGTATGTGTCTTCACAATCACACAGCAAGGCAAGCTCCAATCCCCCTTCCTCTCCCCTGTTCTCCCTCATCCCTTCTCCAAGATAGTAGATTGACATATTTTGCTGGGCAATGTATATATTGATGTGTTCATTATTGGAAAGACAGTTTAATACCACTTTATAACTGAAATTCTGATACTTACATTGCGTCTTTGTCCTCTCCATAGTGACAATGAAGAGAAGATTAGAACGTGACCTACAGAGCACCGCTCAGAATAAACAGAAGAAACGTATAGAAGAATTGGGGCTAAATTTGAGTTCCACATCTGACGATGACACTCAGTACAGCAATCATGGCACCCAGGGTAAGGCTCGGCCTTCATACTCCCAGGGTAAGGCTTGGCCTTCATACCCCTAGGGCAAGGCTCGGCCTTCATACTCTCAGGGCAAGGCTCGGCCTTCATACTCCCAGGTCAAGGCTCGGCCTTCATACTCCTAGGGCAAGGCTCGGCCTTCATACTCTCAGGGCAAGGCTCGGCCTTCATACTCCCAGGGCAAGGCTCGGCCTTCATACTCCCAGGGCAAGGCTCGGCCTTCATACTCCCAGGGCAAGGCTCGGCCTTCATACTCCCAGGGCAAGGCTCGGCCTTCATACTCCCAGGGCAAGGCTCGGCCTTCATACTCCCAGGGCAAGGCTCGGCCTTCATACTCCCAGGGCAAGGCTCGGCCTTCATACTCCCAGGGCAAGGCTCGGCCTTCATACTCCCAGGGCAAGGCTCGGCCTTCATACTCCCAGGGTAAGGCTCGGCCTTCATACTCCCAGATCAAGGCACGGCCATCATACTCCCAGGGCAAGGCACGGCCTTCATACTCCCAGGGCAAGGCTTGGCCCCCATACTGGAATTTCCTGACTCAGGGCTGCTGACTACAGAAGTAAAGGAAGATAGCAGAGTTGTCTTCAATAGTCAGATGTCATCTGTGTTCTGAACAGCTGCCCTGGATTACAGCTCCCTATTGCTTTTCACTTTTGTTTCTAAATAAATCCCAATGTCATAGTACCCCTGTACACAATGTAGCTTGAAAATGGGAATGGAGCGTGGGAATCCATAGCATCCAATCAGGTTTTGATTTTTTTGATCTGTGATTAGTTACGCTGGCGGACTTTAAAGTGAACCAATTCTGGTGCAGTGGGCAAGTCTGCTTTTGTCCATTGCGGCCGACACTTAATTTTCTAGTGTCAGCCACTGGGGTGAATGTTGATTTCACTTCCCGTGTCATGTCAGCAATGGGCTGATGGACCCGAGAAATGTCACTGAGAAGGACTTCACATGCTTCTTCATACCCAGAAGCTCAAGCATTGATGTGCCACGCGTTCCGATGCGGGCGATCGCAGTGCGGCCAGGGGGCGTGCGTGCGGTGCCTTTGACTTTAATGCACTGCCACGCCCCAGAATACAGTGAGCCAGCCGGAATGCGATCCATTGCGTTCTGGCACTGAATCGTGCCGGAACGCACTGGGGCTGGTGCAAACTAGCCCTTAATGTTCAGCGCTTCCACACTGCTCCTTCCTCCCTTTAAACCCTTAAAGCTGACCTCTGTCCTTCCTTTCAGTCTTGTATAGTGGAACCGGCTCCCCTGCTGTACTGAAATTGCTTACTGTGAGATTCTCACAATGTGCATTAGAAGCTGTAAAGCTGTAGCAAGTTAGATAGAGTCCACATTGTTTCCTGGCTGGAGGATGGTCACCATCATCTAGCTCTTTCCTCCCTAGCCTGAGTGTCCTCGGGCTGCCTCTGCCATTAATTGGCTATCAGTTCATTCCAGGAGGCTTAACATCACATGAAGGCAATACCTAGGGTGGTTTGCATTCAGTGGCGTCTTGTCTGGGAACACCCACCTCCTCCAGACTGATATCCACCCATCAAGGCATTTTGATATTTGCAGAAGTCCTCCCAAGAGCCGGCCTGGTGGGGACTGTATAGACAAGTACTGAGGCAGGGTGCTGTGATGTTTTTAAGAAGTTATCTGCAGCCTCCACCACCAGCCATGATCTGCCTGCATTGCATTGAAAAGCACAGAGACTCGGTGATAATGTAACTGCATCTAAAATAAGAAGTGTAATGCAAATTGAAAGGTTTTCTTCAAAAATGTTGATATGAGGAGGGGGCACCAGGGAAGCCAAAATATAAGCCAAATAAACTTCAGTTTTAAAAGTTTTAGATGATCTCCCTGGTGGGGAGGGCTGAGTGCTCCCTAACTTTCCACCATGTAAGGTTATATTTCTGAGCAAACTGTGTTCTGTCTGTATACATTTCCATTACTGTTGTCTTTGTATCCAGAATCTAAATAAAGTTTTCTGCCCTTTCACAGAGTCTTCCACTAGTGGGACCGGCTCAGACAGCGAGATCGATGAGAAGAGACCTGTGTTTGGGTCGGGGGATAAAGAAAAAGCGGACCCCCTGGCAGAGGGCACATCATCCCGCTACTCCATGTTTAACAGTGTCTCCCAGAAACTCATGGTAATCACATGCTGGGCATTTCACAACCAATCAGGGGGGAGCTAAATGTTCAAACTGCATTTTCCAGAACTGTAAGATGAGAAATTATTATTGTGTACTCCGATACAAACGACCGGCAGTGCTGAACGACCGATTATTTGTTGTCTTACCTAAATCATTTTTGTAGCACAAAGTTAAACTGTCCGTTGTGTTTATTCTCTGTAAGTGGAAAACTGAAGTCCTAGATTTTACATTGTTTCATTGTCTGTTTTCATCATTTAGGCAAAGATGGGCTTCCGCGAAGGCGAGGGTTTGGGAAAGTTCGGCCAGGGAAGAAAGGAGATTATCGAAGCTTCCATGCAGAAAGGGCGGAGAGGTCTCGGCATGATCATAAAAGGGTTCGAAAAGGAACTGAATATTGACTGGAGGGATCAGCCTGAGGTGAGTAGTAAGAACATGGAGAGTATATAGATGGAGGGATCAGCCTGAGGGGAGTGGTATATAGATGGAAGGATCAGCCTGAGGGGAGTGGTATATAGATGGAAGGATCAGCCTGAGGGGAGTGGTATATAGATGGAGGGATCAGCCTGAGG